CGACTCAGTGCTGTCTAGAAGCGTGCTGTGTGTAACCACTGGAGGTGGCTGTTTTCTGCACGAAGAGCGCATGCAACCTTTGAGCAAAGGTTTTCAAGCAGGTTTGCGCTGCACTCATGTCTATCTGGCTCTTGTCAAATCTGCGTAAAATTCTGATCTCCTTGTCAGCAGCGTCAGCCATCATAACCATTTGCAGGTACACTTCTGTGGATATAGACTCCAGGAACTTCTTGGCAACCCTTCGGGGTTTCGCGTTGGTCTTTACTCGCCATATCCTTAGATTTGTAAGACAGTTTTTCTTTGAAATGGCGACATACTCAAGCAAGCCTGATGCTTACTAAGTCTCTCGTGAGCTGTGGCCAAGAACGCATCCGCAAGAAGGATAAATCGCCCCATCGGCTTCTGCAGAGAAGAATGACGATGCTTGGCCGACTGCAAGTCTCTCATGCCATTGTGACGCAGAAATTTGGCGTCCATGTGCCGAACCTTAACGCGACGAGACACTATGGCCACACTTGCGGCATGTGTGTTAAAACATGTCCACTTTTGAGCCTAGCAACATGCTTCGCAAACATCACCTTCAAATCTGGCGAGTGCCAAATTAGCGTAGTCATAGACTCCTTTCCAGATATGAATTGTTGCATGTATTCCTGAAGCGTCTCGTCAAGATGCCATTTCTTTGCAAACCTTAGCCAGCAAGGCAGCTGTCTGTTAGTTGTCCGTTCCGCGCAGGGTTGTTTACTGGGAATGCAACACGTGAGGACTGCGCTGAGTTGCCGTTGGACAGCATGCGCGCTGTCGCGTAATCGAATCTTCATAGCTGGAAAAGTCTCGGCAGAGAAGTGGTCCCGAAGTGAGAGTAAACGGCCGGCTCTCAGTTCATCAGCGGCCGCATCCGAAGCAAACATTTCCTCAGCAGCGTCAGCGTCAGGGAGAAGCATTTTGTTTTGAAACATGGAGCAAGCAAAGCTTTGCCGCCTAGGTTCCACCCTTCTGCGAAAATGCTGCCAAGCCTTTTTGTAAAATGTCGGCGCCTTCCCGCACCACCCAGACGGAGGTTTTCTTCTAGCCTGAAACATAGCTTTTGCAACTTGCAGCGTTGTCCTGGCAAGCCTTCGGGCGCCGCAAATTTGGCCGTGGAAGAGCCCCAAGAGGCCTTGATGCAGTTCAAGTTGACCGCGCTGTTTTCGCAGTGCGGTTTGACACACAGGCAAATCTGACAGAAAGCATCGGCCCTTGCGCATCTTGCGAAATCAGAGCTACCTGGCACTTCCCAAGTTTCTTCCGCTCCATATCTAACATAGCCTCATTCAAGCACCATGAAATCTTCTTTTCCTTGTAGCGGCCAAGAGGAGATTTTCGAAGCGATTCTCCTTTCAAGCGACGCTCCACAACACCCAGAAAGGTGTCCATTGACGGGGTGCCTGGCAGATCTGGGCTGCAGCCAAGCGCTGTCGCTCGTCGGAACCAATGTAGTACTCCACGCTCATGTACTCCACGCTCATGTTGTTTCAAGTGCGTTGTTCGCAATCCTTCCACTGAGCGGCTGAAGCACTTGCAATACCGGCACTGCACATTCGACTCAGTTAGTTTTGCCCACTTGAACAGTCTTCCCCACTTAATCACGCATTTGGAAGAAGGCATGGCGCCATCCGAACTGCGTTGCCGCAGTCGGTGCAGCAGCTGCCGTACAACTTGAGCATGTTTCGACAGGCGTGATCAACGATTAACGATGCCGCAACATGAACTGTGCCACGACAGAAACACTCAGGCAAAACGGACGAGCCCTTTTTACATCTGCGGGACTGTGTGCTTGAAGTGCGACCGCTTCCGAAGCCGTCAGCTGTACAAAGGCTTCGGAAGCAGTGATTCAAAAGACTGACTGCGACGCAGTTCAATTTTTGACCTTTTTGGGGCCCAGGAACCATTCCTTTACGTCAGCCAGCTGCTGCTTTGCGCATGGATCATCAGTCCACCACTCAATGCCGTCGTTGAAGGTGACTTTAAGCCATTGTCCCCGGTAGTTGTACCAGCGTTGGCCCTTGGGGAATTTTGGCGCCCGTGGCAGCCGGCCAAATTGCGCGCCAATGTATCCAGCAGCGACCCATTGTGTATATGTATAGGTGCCGCTAGAGTGCATCCTGTGCACCGGCGCCAATCTCTTTGTCGCTTTCATGCTTCCCCGAGTTCTGAAGGGCAGCCCAATCACTCGGGATCTCTTGAACCTTGTTCTCACGTGCGACCGCGTCTTCTGTTATCGAGTCCTGGATAGCCCCGCCGCAATTCCACCATCCGGGTCAGGCATGTTGTCATAGATGCCTGTCGCAGTGACATAGGCCGTCTCCGCTGCTGTAATTTGTGTGTGGATCGCCTGCCTCAGTGCCGAGCTTTGGGAACCCGGCGTCCTGCCACTGCCTCTCCAATCGCAGCAATTGTGCTCCTTGCCATCGACCTGACTCAAGCGGCATCCACCGCCAGACAAGTGGGAGACACAGGGAGATAACCGGGAGATACAACCCCCCGAGCCGGCGTCATAATATCTGCACACGAGCCCGGAAAGCAAGCTAGAGGCTGGGAGGCACGGAAAAACAAGCGGGAGACACAAGCCCGGAGCCGGCGTTCGAGCATCTGACTGGGAGACATAGGAAGACATATGGGAGGCAGCCCGGAGCGGCGTCATAGCATCTGACTGGGAGACGTAAAGGGGACAAGCGGGAGACACGAGCCCGAAGCCGATGTCACAGCGTCTGATGGGAGACATAAGGAGACAAGCGAGAAACTGGGAGACACAAGGAGACAAGCGGCAGACACGAGCCCGGAACCGGCGTCACAGCATCTAATTAACACGAGCCCGGAGCCGGCGTTAAAGCGTCTATTTGGGAGACATAGAAAAACAAGCGGGAGTCACGATCGGAGCCGGGGGTCACAGCATCTAACTGGGATACAAGCGGGAGACACGAGCCCGGAGCCGTCGCCCCAGCATCTGATTGGAAAACATAGGGAGACACACGGGAGGCACGAGCCCGGAGCCGGCGTCACAGCATTTGATTGGGAAACACAGGGGACAAGCGGGAGATACGAGACCGAAGCCGGCGTCACAGCACCTGACTGGGAGTCACAAGGGGATAAGCGAGAGACTTGGAGACACAAGGAAATAAGTGGGAGACACGAGCCCGGAGCCGGCATAACAGCATCTAACTAACACGAACCCAGAGGCAACATTAAAACATCTAACTAGGAAACACCGGGAGACAGACACGAGCCCGAAGCCGACGTCACAGCGTCTAACTAGGAAACACAACGAGACAAACGAGAGACTGGGAGATATAGGGAAACAAGCGGGAGACACGACAAGCGGGAGGCACGAGCCCGGAACCGACGTCATAGTATCTGAGTAACACGAGCCCGGAATCGGCGTTAAAACATCTAATTCGGAGATATAAAAAAACAAGCGGGAGACAAGAGCGGAGCCGGGGTTACGACATTTGACTGGGACATAAGCGGGAGACACGAGCCCGGCCGGCGCCCTAGCATCTGACTCAGAGACATAAGGAGATACACGGGAGGCACGAGCCCGGAGCCGGCGTTATGGCACTTGATTGGGATATATAGGGATAAGTGGGAAACACGAGCCCAAAACCGGCATCACAGCATTTAACTGGGAATCACAAGAGGATAAGCAAGAAATTGGGAGATATAAGGAGATAAGCGAGAGATACGAGCCCAGAAGCATAACAGCATCTAACTAACACGAGCCCGGAGGCGGCGTTAAAGCATCTAATTAGGAAATATAAGGAAATAAACGGGAGACCCGAGCCCGAAGCCGGCGTTATAGAATCTCACTAACAAACAATCGAGACCCCCCCGGAGCCGGATTCGAAAACATAAAGACGCAAACGGAAGATATAACCCCCCCCCCGAGCTAGCATCACAACAAGTAACTAACACAAACCCGGAGCCAATATCAAAACATCTAATTAAAAAACAAAAAAAAAAAAACGGAGAAAATAAACGAAAAATACAAATCCGGAATTATAATATCTCACTAAAAACTAACTAAAAAATACAAAAAAATAAACAAAAAACACAATCCGGAACCAATACAACAACATCTAACATCTAACAAAAAAAAACTATAAATCAAAAAATAAGCAAAAAAAAGAAGAAAACAAAACCAATATCATATTTTCTATATCTCAAGTTAAAACCTCAATACTTCGCTTTTTGGGAATAAAATAAATAAAACCTCTTTATAATCTATAAATATTATTATTCATTCACATTATCCATTTTGCCATTAACAATACAATCTACAACCATAATTCCGTTTTCCTTTTTTCAAGAAAATTTCCTCTTTATCAAACTATAAATAATTTAATATCCCATCATCCTTAACCTTATCGCACCACAAATCTTAAGAATTTATAATTCATATCATAACCAAAAATCAAAAAACATCTTAATATAAAATATACAAAATATAATAATTATTTCAATAATATAATTTCAATCCCGAATATCACTTACTCTAAAGAAAATAATCGAGATTCAGCTCTAAAATAATCCAAAACGACCCTAAGCTTCCATCAATTTTGCCAAACGATTTTATTAAAGTTAACTTTCAGGATTCAAACACATTAAAGCAAAAACCACATAACGCTAAAATTTGATGCCTGACGTTGCGGGGCTGCAAGCCAGCCCCTGCAGTCTAACATCGTAATTTCTCTTGACGCTTGACTTTAACGCCTCATCCTTGCCTAGTTTTTTCGAATCCTGCTTCGAATTTCGCCTTCCGGCCTTTTCGGCCTCAAAATTTTCTTGCGCGCCTTTTCGGCTTCTTTCTACATTGACATGTTCTAGATGGTCATTGCACTGCCAGCTTCCTCGTCTTCTCCATTTCGTCAGTAGACAGCTGTACCGTCTCAATGTCATATTTTTTTTTTAAATATATCTGACATTACTTGGCTTAGAGTTGCCTTCATAATGCTTTTCCTGCTTAATCATGAGCTCCTTGCAAGAAGCCTTGGCAATCAAGTCGCAAGGTGAAGCCATCTTCTGAGACTGGGCGCGGCCAATCCACTGCATCATCTGCAGTGCTGCAGTGGGCAAGAGCCTGGAGTCTTGTCAGCGCTCACACACCTGAACAGTGGCTCACGTGCCGGACCTCTTGCACGGCATCTTGGGCAAAGCCCATGTTGGCTAGCTCGTTGGCAAGCTTAGCCTGGCGCCAGGGTATTTCTTTGATTGCTAATATTGCTATTAACAATTGCCAACGTATGCTGAAAGTAGGAGTCCGCCATCTGCCTGTGGATCTGCACGCGGGCGTCCTTTGCCTGGCGCCTCTCCTTGGTGCACATGTCATAGTTCCGAGCTCAACATGGTGCTGGAATAGTGCCTGCAATTGCTCCCAGCGCTTCGGAGGTTGACGTGGACCTGCAAGAATCAGTTGAAGGCAGCATGCCTCCTGGTGCTTGAAAGAAGCTGCCACTGTTTCTTTGAGTTGCAGGCAATAATACAGATGCTAAGCTTCTTGGCAAACCGCTTGACGCTGCCTGCAGCACTGCACTCTGCGTCCAGTTACTCTAGTTGTTTCAAAAAAGCTCTCCTTCGGCACGTCAGTCGGCACAGAATCGGCAAATTCGAGCCTGACTGAGGTGATTTCGCTCAGCTCAACAGCGGTACTGGGATGCTGGCATGCGCTGCAGGTGATCACGCGCGTCTGGGCGAGCGTCTTGCATCATGCTGAGCAACCTAGGGCTTGCTTTCACTTGTTGACGCCGTGCCTTGTGACTTAGGGGCAAGGCAAATTGCGCACCGCTGCCAATCGCATGTCTCCCGGCTCCACCACCGCCTTGTCATGCCTTTGCAAAGCTTCTTCCCTGGCCAGGGACAGCAGCAAAGCCTGACCTCGAATCTTAGCTTGCCTCGCAGGCTGTGTCTCTGCTCCAAAAAGATCCTGCAGAGGGCAAATTGCCACGGTGCGAGTGCTGTCCAGCACCTCCAAATTAGCCGCGGCCGCAGGTGCTTGAGCAGCCGCCTCTGGCGCTGGTGACGCTGGTGCGGCCGCCATCTCGTTTTCCTCGAGTTGCTCCGTCGCATAATTTTCTAGCATCGCATTTGGCCAACGTTTCAACGCACCCTTTTGCTGCGTGGTATTGCGCATGGGCGGAGCACCACTCGTTCTTTGGAGCTTGCTGACATCCCTCACATTAACAAGCGCGACGCTCACGGCGCATGGACGCGGAGTGTCTCGGAGACCGTGGCTCACACATCAGCTCACCTCCAAGCCCATCGGCAGTTTTGACCTCAAGCAACATGCCAGCCTTCTTTCTCCGTTCTTGGGCGACCTGCCAGCACTGTCGTGCGCATACCACCGTATCCACCTGTCCACTTGCTTACCTGGCAACCAGCTCGACCAAAAGCTTTCGCATTTCCCGAAGCTCGCCAGACACCTGGAAGCTGCGGAAGTGAAGCGAGGACATCTGCTTGGGAACGACACGCCTCGTCCAGGCGATGCTCCAATGCCTTCGAGTCCCAAACCCAGCGGGTCCCAAGAATAAAATAGTCATGTAAATTCATATAAACTATATGCCTGCCATATCTTCACAGCCTGCATCTAAGGTTGCTTGCCGAGTCAAACATGAAATGAAAAAATCTCAACATGATTTGCGGGCCTCAACCTTCTTGCCGCTCCCACCAACACGCCGCAGATAGTCTAGGATCTCATCGAGCTTCTCCTGCAACTTGAGGCTGATGCGCCATCTGATTATTTTGATGGGCTTGTTGTGTGCCAGCTGTAACCATGGGCCAATTTGAGTAGGTCCTGGGTGTACTCTGCCGGGAACGGCTCTCGGGCCATGTGCGGCATGTGCCTCACACGATGATCAGCTTGTCAGAATGCCCCCAACCGCTGCCCACTCAGGGCACCGCTGTAGGAAAGCCTTTGGTGACTCTGGTGGCGTTTTGGCTCGCTTGGGCCCCAAAAGGTGTTTGAAGACCATCATCAGCGAGTTCCTGAGCTGTCCAAACACGGCTGTTGAAATGTTGGCTCCGAGTTTTGCATCGTAAATCGCCATGGGGGCGGGGGCCCGCCCCATCCGGGCCATGTATAAACTCATGACCATTGCGGCACTATGTCTGAATGCCAAACATACAGCGGTTTCGCCGGCGCGCTAGTCCGCTTGTTCTTGGCTGCTTTGGGATGTACCATGGGCTGTCAGAGATGCTTTCAGATTGGTTTTTCTCGTTCGGAGAGTTTTGGCGGCATGTCGCCGGCAGCTTGACTACAAACAAAGCCGAGAGTATCTGTGGGATGTTGCCTTCAAGGCGCATGCTCCAGTGTTCAGTTTGGCAGTTGCCTGCTAGCACGAGCTCGCAGGATTGCCAATGTGTTCGATTTTTGCCGGCCACTCCAGTACTGTCGCAGAAGCCTCCACTGCGTAAGATGCATGAAACACTCACATCCCATGTCCCTCCTGCACTAGACTACGTACGTGAACACAGGTTTTGGCCATCACTCATGGGGGGCCCGCCGCATCCAGAAAAGTAAAACTACACGACTCAACACGTATTACAAACACACTGTATATAGCTCCTGAGCCGTCCGTTTGGAACGGCCCTAACTCCAAACAACTGAGGGAGGCAAAAGGAGTCCAAGCTGCCAAAGGATGGTCTTATAGCTCATGGCCAGCATACCTTGTGCAGCACCGATTTAGAAACATGACCAAAGCGAGTCCCCACCTTGATACAAGCCTCCGATCCCCTCGGTCATGAGGACTCTGCGCAGCACCTGCCCGCAGCCAATGCTCAATATGCTCAATCTTAACGGACGTTGCTGGTTGCCAAGCACCTCAGGAAAGGCCGCCCCAGCGTACTGTGAGGCCGCAGTTTGCTGAAGCACCTGTGTCGGGGCATGACCTCTCACATATTGGGCTCCATGCGGCCTGGTCGCTGCTCACTCTGCTTTTTGAGCGGTTTTTGGCATGTCAAGTGTAGCAACACAATGCGCTGATTCGAGCTGGCCTTGGCGCGGATGAGCGGGTAGGTGAGGATTGTGGCAATCGTCTATGGCGGGCAACCAGGCGAGCAACGCACCACAAAATGGGCAGCATCTCTGCAAAAGGCATCGAACCATGTCCTCACCACGCAGCCCCCGCCTTTGAGAGCGCAGTAATTCCCCCGACAACAGCTGCGCTGTGGTCGCGCGCGTCAAGGTGGTCCTCGCCACAGGATTGCCGCACCATGGCACGGATCCTGCCCGGTTCATATGTTTCAAGCAGGTGCAACATTGCAACAGCCACTGAAAGCCCAAAGCAAATTGAAACATAAGCCAAACGCCTGAGAATTGATGTGATCAATGTGTTCATGATGGCGGGGTTGATGGCCTTGCACTGCGGCCCTCGAGAGGCATCCAAGTGTCTACGAATCTGGGGACTTCAGTGTGTGCCAAGGGGCCAAGATCAAGGACACAGTGAGGCCACGGTAGAAGGCACCCAGCCCACCCTCCTGTCATTGCCAGCCCTCCACCGTGCATCTTTCAGCATCTTTCAGCACTCAGCATTCAATTATCTGTCCTTGTACAACATATGCGCCGTCGCTGCAAAACCTGGAGACTTATCCTCAGAATTGTTTCGGTCGGCAAAACTATTCACACATGGCAAGAGCTCGTTCGAGTCAAGCCACAGACAGTTGGTTCACGCTTGATATCACTTCAAACGGAACCTCGCATTCTGGTGCGTAGAAAGCATCACACACACACGCTGACAGCAAAGCTGTTTTTGTCTGCTGAGCTGCAGTGCATAGCCAATTGAGCTGCTTCGACAAGAGGTTCAGCACCAGCCTCCTCATGGGCGCTGTAGCTGACGTGTCGTCGAACCTCCGCGGGGAATCCCTATGGTATGAGAGCCTGGAAAATCACGGAATGCCAAGCCACTCTGTGAAGAGTCGGAACAGCGTGCCGTGGAAGATCCAGTAGTTCAAGCTGTGAACTGATTCCTTGATGAGCGCTGCTCCAATCCCGCGGTAGAGGCCCTGGCTGCCACACTGAGCACATCAATGCGCTCCATGCGCTACATCGCGCGACCTGCCTGAATGCCAGCCTGAGCAATCCAATCTCGGCAAACTTGGATTGGACAAGCGCCACTGGCGCCACTGGCCAAGGCGCTTTGCGCAGAAACGAGATCAGCGTCGCCAGGAAGCCTTCCAGGACTCTACACCCCGCAATGTACGTGGAACTTGCGAGTGTGGCATGGCAGCCTTGTGCGTTCGTGGCACTTGCGGTCTGAACCTGACACGGAACTCGCCCACAAGCCCGGGCCACAGACTCTGAAGATGGACCGGCCTTCAACTTGATTGTGTCCACTGGAAAAAGGACCGCCTGCATTTGGTGCTTGCAACTTGCTTGACTTCACGCAGATTCAAGCAAACACTTCTCCTCGGCAAGCACAGAGCCCACAGTTCCACTCAGCGCGTTTGCGAGGACTGAGGGCTTTCGGTGCCTCGCGCCCGACAAAGCGCATTTTGCGCCACTCCCCACCTCGGCGACCTGGGTGCGATGCTGAAGATCTCGTTTCTGGACTGCCTTACCTCGCAGGTTACAGGGAGAAATCCCTGCAATGAAACGTCTGCAATGTGCTGCACGGTCTTGAAACCGGCACAACTGAAACAGCAAAATCGATGCTGATTGCAATGCTTGGGCTTGTCGCGCCGTCACTAAATCAATGAGTTGCATGCAATCTGTGCGAACAATCCCTTCGCCTCTACGTGCCCCGTGCCATCCAGCTCCATGATGCCAGCAAACGGGGTCATCTCATCGCATACAGCTGTGAGTCCAAATGCTACGCTATGCGCGGTCTACACGATCAAGATCTGGGTCACTTTGGACCCTTGAGCCCAAGGGATGCTTCCAAGGGATGCCCAAGGGATGCCCAAGGAAATGCTATCAGACGGCTATCAAATGCTATCAGTCCGCGCTGTGTCCGCGTTCGCTCCGGAGCGTGTCGTGGCAAGAAATGGGAGTCCTCATCTCGCCATGGATGCCTTGGTGAGCGCGGGCCGGCAGCCAGAGATTCATTGCACGGCTTGGATCGAAAGAAGTGTTGCCAAGCCAAGAGTCTCTTTCTATCTATACGGAAACAATACTAAAGCAGGAATCGAAACTTCAAACAAGGCAAGCCAAGGCGCTCGAACTCCAGAAAATGGGCTGGATTCTTCCGATAGCACCTGCCATGCCAAGTGCATGCTGTCGTTGAACCCCCAACTTGCGCTCGAACCTTGCCTTTGTCCGTAAGGACAAACACTCTTCTTTCCGCTTGCCTAGGCGCCCACAACCTTGACATGTATTCACTGCATTCCACATAGGACGTCACGGTTGCAGCTATGTCTGCAGCGGCCGACAAGCGAAGCTTCTTCCTGAGTCATCAATATGAGTTGGACCGATTGGGGGGCAACTTGCCGCCAGACCGCTCTGGAGGGGGTGCAGGCGGGATCATGTCCTCAAATCCGAAGTCGTCCAAATCCTCTGTCATTTAATTTCATATTTCCTGAAATACCGCACTCAAAGGAAGCTGCCCTCATGCGCCTCCTCAGCTGTGCCTAGCTGCCTGGCATCCATGGCCGTCAATCCACCTAGCTCGGGCAATTCTCACAATTGGCGAATTCCCAGTCGCCCCTCTCCCAATCGTGATCTTCCTGGAACATAGCTGCATTTTATGGCAATCCTGTTTATAGCCAAAAAGGTGTGACGAACTGACAAACTATCATGTGCATTGCATTTTGCATATCATCTTGGCAGGCACAATGAATTACAACAAACACACAAACACGAAGGTATAGGCACAGAGCTGTTTTTGGTCATATCATAACTTGCCCTTTTTCAGCGCAGTCAGAGCTCCCAACGTCTCAAAGCTGGCGGACCTCAGCGATCACGCAACGGCTCTCGGTCGCTCCCAAAGCGGTGTAGGCTCAAATTTGAAGCTCACAACTTTGAGGCTCAGAATGCTCAAAGCTTCGAAAGCTCTGAAGTATTGGGATGCAAGCTTCGGATCGGGTGATGCTTTTTCAGGAATCTTTCTCTGGCTGGAATCTATTGTGGACCCTTAGTTGCCAATTGTCGTGATTCTTGCCGCACATTGCTGCGCTCCCTTGCACAAGGGAAGGTCATGGTACACCAATAGACGTCATTCGAGGATATCCAGCGATCTTGCAACATTTGTAACGAGTGATGGGACAGAAGCTCCGCCTCAAGTCACTTCAGCCACTGCAGCCACTGCAGCCACTTAAGCTGCTCGGCACGAGATCCAGTTCGTGCTCGCTTGGGGCTGCTGCCGGCAATGGGCGCTGGCGCTGCAGCAGGACCCTGAGTCAGCTTTCCCTGTGCTGTGCAGCCAGTGTCTGAGAATCCAGCGTCGAAGAGGATAGAATGAGTCCTAGCCGACAGGATGAGCATATAACATCAAAGTCAGAAAGGGAAGGTCCCGGCTTTTTCAGAGCACTATCTTTGCGGGGACCTGGAGGGACCTAGGTCAGGCCAAACTGGCCTACCTTTTCTGGACATGCTTGGCGCTCAGCATAGGCCCCGCAAATCTGACTCCAGGTCATGTCGACGCGCTCACCTCAGAAGATCTCCGTCTCTCCAAGTCGCGAGCTGCGAGCTTCGTCCCGATTCGTTGCCTACCAGCGTAGGAAATCTTGGGATGTTGTCCGCGGTGAGCTCCTCGGATCTCGCAACGGTAGGGGTCATGCATTCAGTCATGCAGTCGCTGAAGCACACCTACCGACACTTACAGACACTTCCTGGTAACGGTAGGTGATCACCGCATTCACCTCGGGCGGGTTGCGCCTGTGCGAACCACAAACCTCACAGTAACATTCTGCAAGATCCAGCCTCTGTGCGTCACTAAGTCCAGATCCAACCTGCTGGGCAAACGATTGCCGTGATTCTTCTTACCTCAAGAACAGCACTGCTTGCCTTGCCTTGAACCGCCGCTTGTCAGGGGTTTCACACAGAAGTGCACCGCACATGCCCGCAACTCTGCCAGTTCCGCCAGCATGGCCCACCACGATAGCTTCCTGCCATGCAAAGCGCATCTTGATCGCAACATGAGAGGACGACAAATTCTGAGGAGCGCCCGGGAAGGGTGCATTGTCAACGCTTCTTTATGCTTCTTTAGATGTTCATGTAGATTACACTTGTCGACACCAAGGGCATTGACGTTTAAGTCAAGAGAACAAGCGTCAACGACTAAATGTGGACGTCGCCTAGAATCAGCACGATGCATCCTTGCACTGAAACCCATACTTGCACTCATCCTGCTCCCGGCAACATTGGCAGCAGCATACAACGGCTCAACGTTGTACTGAACCCACCCTCCCGGGTACACTGTCGCCTAGGATCGCCTAGGTCTGTGATGCTTAGTCGCCTTCATCAAAACCGATGCGTTTTGACATTTAATCTCGATTGGTCAAAAGGGATTAATGGTTGAGGCACGCTCCAACAGAGGAGACGCAACGCTGAAATTGTTTCCCTGAAAGCAAACCAAGCCCCGTCATTGACCGTATTTACATATCCCCAGTGCGCCTATTCACAGTTGGCCAAAGCCTGCGGCCCTGGTCTTTGCACGCTTTGCATGGGGCAATGTCTTGTCACTCTTGTCTTTCTCCTCGTCGTAGAAGGTCTTCACTTTGAGAAGTGTCTTTGATCGCTTGCGCTCGTATCGCGATCCTGGAGAGTCTTTGAGTCTTTCACAGCCCCTTAAGACTCAAAACGCAAAGCGGTGCCACAGTGCAGCGGTCGCAAGTCCTGGGCAGCGCAGCATCAAGCCTTCCCCTCCCCGCTTCTCGACCTGACTGGATGACTCACTCGATCCGAAACGAACTCGATTTCACCCGCCCGCGATTCCTCGGTTGGACTCCGAGAGACTCAAGACTCGAGACTCCCTCAGCGACTCGCTCGGCGCCTGTGACAATACTGTGTCCAAGGATGCTCGACTTTCGCAGCGCTCCATTGGGACAGGTTTCCTCGCATGTTTGCAAAATGCACGCACACGCTTCTTCACCATGCTACCAAGAGTCGCGACATCACTACGGCCGGCACAAGCCCTCTTGACTGCCTCCAGGCGCATCTCAAACGGCTTGTTCTCTATGTCCATACCTTCTGCAATAGCCGCAAGAGAGAGAGAGACAAATATCGAAAGACGGAAAGACAAATGAAAGAAAGAAAGACACAACGAACGCAAAAGGAACAAGAAACGACAAGAAACAGAAGCAGCGAGCCAAGAGAAAGCAAAAGAAAAGAAAAGGTGTAGCACACCTCCCTCTTGTAGGCAGTCAAATACCATGTACCTTGGCCGGGAACAAATCGCTCTCCGAAAGGAAAGTGCGTGATCATATTGCCAAAGCTGCGTCAGAAACTCCCATTCGTGCTGGCGGCTGCTGCTTCGGACGATACCCACCTTGGAGGCTCTACCCTCGAATTCCATCCCATGACTCCTTTGACTACGCTGTCGAAAACTTGGCCTCACGCAGTCTTTTGAAACTGGCCTCGGCCACCCCAGACCTCGCCGTCGAGGACACAGCCCGCCGGCATCTTGCGCTTGAACCAATCCGGACAGACCTCAGGCACAAGCCAGCCACGAAAACAGCACAATGGTCCACAGCACAATGGTCCGCAATGAATTACGCTTCCAGACGCGCATCGATAACAAGCTTTGAAACATCCCCCACTAGAAATGGGGCAGTGGAGACTCCAAACAGCAGCCGACCTGTCAGCGGGACTAAAGTATCCAGGTGGCGTAGGTGTTATCACCACGTGAATAAAACTCGCCGTTTCGCCACACAGCTCGGACACCATCCAGCTTCTCTGACATCCACCAGCCCGTGGGATCCTGAAAAGGCGCTCAACGCTCCGAAACTCCGTAACAAACCGCAACTCCTCATCCTCCCACTTCTTGGCAAGCAGCACATCGGACATCGGGAAAGCTAGATCTCAACCGAGGTGAAAGCAGGAGGCGTTCTGACGGTTCTGTATCTGAAAGAGAAAATCGGATAACCTAAATTGGGAGCAAAGAAGTGAACTCGTACTTAATCCTTGCAGTACACTGCAGGTCTTGCACCTACAGGCCTGCAAGGAAGTGAAACAGCTGCCACACAGCTAAACGGTAGATACACCCAAGAACCCTCATTCAACCTCCATGCCCGACGCTCACTTAGCTGAGCTGTTTCTTTGCTCTCTGGTTGCCAGGGATATCAATGCCAGGTGAAACCTAATCGAGTCGTGCAGACTTTAGCATGCTTTGACAGGCCTCCACAATGTCCGGAGTGTATTCGCTTTCTTCCAAAGAGAGGCTTTCCGGCCATCTTGGCCAGAAGCGCAATCCATCACCGGCGCTGGTTTGATCGTGGAGCCTGCACCAGAAGCACATAGGCTTGTTTGGCGAGGCCCGCCCTCCGACCCTGAGGCATGGGCTGGCATCAGCACGCCCTTGATGCTGTGGATGACGCCGTTGGAAGCAAATATGTCCTGGCCAAAGGGGTTGACTTGTTCTTTGTCAAAACTCAAGTTTGCCGCAAGCCAGCATGGCCATCGGATAAGCTTGCCAGCCCCACCATGTGCTCACCAGGGACGTCGTTGACACAAGGGCCGCCGCGAGGCCACTGAGTGAACGTGACCTCAGCCCGAATGCAAACAGCTTAAAGATACACAAAGATACAGAGCGTATACATATATATATATATAGGTTGAAGTGGGACTGACTGTGTACACACCTGATGACCTAAATGCGTCAAACCTGTGATGTGACAGCTCGGCACTTGTTGTCTCCAGCGGGCGAGGGCTGTAGTCTATGTTTAGACCTGTAGGCTCAAGGCCTTGATGTACAAAGGGCAGTGTCATGTACAACATGGATGTATGTTAACACCCCCTCTTGGATTGATGTAGCTCCTACAGCAAGCCAAAACAGTTGTGTTCTAACGGGGCGAAGTGATGTACAAGTCTGTTATGAGCTCTGCTGGCTGTTTCCCTTTGTACATCGATGCTTCTAATGAGTCGAACATCTGTACAAACTGCATTCATGTAGCCTGATGTCTGCAAGATGTAGCCCCACCATTGTACCAAAATTCCGGTATGCCAAAACGGCAAATGTAGACCTCCGTGGATGTTGAGGCTCTTCCTGTACTCATTGATCTTGTCAATGTACTCAGGATAGATCATGATGTTCCTTGTTGTGAGGAAAGCCCATGGGCTTGACAGCTGTTGTAGCGATCTTGTAGTCTGAGCCGCAACTGCTCATCTTTGTGATCACTGCTGTCGCGCGCTGTGGAGACATGTAACTCAATGCAGAAAGTCCGGTATAATTGAGAGCTTGTGCGAGTCCAGCGTGAATGGTATCCTGACTGTCAGCTGTAAGCAAACTCAAGGGAGAGAATAGCGTTGTAGGAATGCATGAAACCTGCCTCCCACGTGCACTGGTTGTAGATGTTGAAAAGCATGTACCAAATGCCAGGCTGTAAGGCTGTTCTTCTCCGTGATGCGCAGCAACCGTGTGCTGTTGTTGTAAATGTATCCCCTGTTGAATGTATTTGCTTTGGACCTTGATGTAAGGTCAAGAAGCTCTGTCAAATCGCAGTGCCCCGCCAGGATGTAGAGGTCAGTGGTATTTGCTGTAGCCAACTTCCCTGCACTCATCAGGAACAAAGTTGTCATTACCGCGTCGTGTGGGTTCGTTGTAAGAATTGTAAAATCGAATGCTTGGTAACGAAGGTTGCCCGGGATGTACTCGATCTTCTCCAACGATGTTGCAGTTGTGTCTCCAACAAAAGAGATGTGCTCCTCGGTGGTGAGAGCGATGTAGAGTGCGTTGCTGTCATCCTGTCATTGTACCTTTCTGGTACGCGTGTGTGTGCAAGCATGGGCAGAGGTGTGATGGGCTGCATGTCCATTGCGATCTATGCAACCTGATGCACCTCCAGGCCAAACTGATGTAAACAAAATGGCTGCAGAAATGTGTCAAAGCATTGTTTGAGACATGTACAGACTGTCATGCAATGCAAGTGTGGCTTCCAAAAGGTGTGGGAAAAGTCGTAGTGGTTGTAAAAGCGGGGTCGGTCCATGGCAGATGTATCTACCCCAAGAGATTGTAACTATGCCGGCTATTATGTAGTACGACAAACATGTGTGAACTGCGCACCTGTTGTTTAACAACCTGTGCTGACTACTGTGCTCACTGGTGTGAAACTGTTGCGGTGTGGCCTCACAGGCCAACGTTGCACAAGTGCTTGTTGAGGGTGTCACAGCTGACAAACTTAGTCAGTATGTCAGCTGGATTGGCTTCTGTTCTTACTTTGTGCATTGTGATAATTTTGCTCTTGGCAAGCTGTTGTATGAAGAGGCGTCGCAGCTCGATGTGCTTTGCTTTCTTTGATGTACCTTCTCTCATTACTATCGATTTTGCTGCGCTGCTGTCTGTGTGTATCCTGATGTTGGTGCGTACTTCAAAGGCTTCCTTGATAAAGTTGCTGATGTAGAGGCTCTCCTGTGCTGCTGTACCAACTGCGTGCAGTTCTGATTCTGCTGATGAAAGTGCTTTTGTTGCTTGTGTTCTGCTGCCATAGTGTGCTGCTGCTCCAACAAAGTACAGTACAAACCCTGCTGCGCTTTTCCTTGTTGTCTCGCATGATCCCCAGTTGGCATCTGTGTGTGTGTGTCAATGTTGAGTGGGATTTGCTTGTCCTGTGTTTGCATCTTTGGTCGCAGATTGTGTCGCATGTACCTTGTTCCTTTGAGGTTTCGGATCATGCGCTTGAGCTTCTTGTTGTCAAGTTGTGTTGATGCTTGTAGTGATCTTGCTAGCTCTTTTGATCCATAGCTGATGTCTGGTCGTGTGTATGCTAGCCATTGTATCTTGCCAACAAGCCGCCTGTATTGCTTGCGCTGTTCGTGGTCTAGCGGCGCTTCATCTTCTGCTGCGCCTTTCATGTGTGGCACTCCTGGTGATGGCGCTGGGTTGCATGTGGTCATCTCTGACTCTTCCAGGATGATGTCAACATAGTTGTTGTTCAAGCTGATGTCAATGTAGTCGCCTTTGTGTGAGATGTTCCTACCAAGGAAAGGAATTGCTGATCCAACTGTTAGGTCGCCTGTGTGTCTCTGCAGGACTTCATTTTGCATCCTGCTGAAGAGCGCGTTGATGATGCTCTGTACTCCTACGAAGAGGAGATCGTCTACATATATCATGATGTAGACTTGACAGTCTTTTGATCTGTAGACATTGCTTTCTGTTGCGCATCTCACAAGTTCAAGTGTGACTGTGAGAATGTGTGCTATGTGGTCTTGCCATTGTTTTGGTGATGATCATAGGCCATAAATGGCTTTGTTCAGCCGCCGCATTGTGTGTCTGTTTTCTTCATTGTAGAACTCGTGCGGTCGTCTCATTACTGGGTTGCAGGAGATTGCTGCTGGATGTAGAAATGCAACACTGACATCTCCTGCGCTGACCAACCAGTGGTACACCAGTGCCATTGTGAGAAGTATTCTCAGTATGCAAAACAATGGTGCACTGGCGGGCAAAGAGTAGGTCGTGGTCTGTAACGGGTTCTGTGTAGCCTTTTGCTACTATGCGTGCTCGTACTTCGTCGTGTTTCTGTTTGAGAACCCATCTTGGCTCGATGATGTTTGCTTGTTGTTCTGGCGTCATTGTGTTGCCATCAATCTCTGTGAAGACTGATTGATCTTTCATTTGTTGTACTTCTTTCTTCATTCCTTGTGCCACTTGTTGTGGATCCAAGCCTTCTGTGTCGTGTGTGATTGGCTCTAGTAGGATCGTTTCATTCTCGATTTCTTCTGTGTCTTCAGTGGATGTTGTCTCCATTTGTTTACCATCCTTTGTTGTGAACTTGATGGTATTTATTTATTCTCATTTTGCCCTTTGGCGAATCGGCTGTTGTAGGTCGGTCCAGCGCTTGCCTCACTGCTGTGGTGCGCTGTTGCTTGCCTGCGCCGCCTTCTGCTATTGCGTCATCTCTTTCTCTTGTGGGTGATGTAGGCGGTGGCGCTGGCAGTGCTGGTCGCTTCTGAGGTGTTGGTGATTTAGCCATTGGTGATGTCGGATCTGCTGTTCTTTTCTGCTTTGTTGGCTGATCGCTTGCTTCTGCTGCGCTCTGTCTCTTTCCTTCTGCTGATGTGCTCCCTGTTGCATCTTTCTGCGATGGTGGTGCCTTGCTTGTAGCTGGCATTGTCAATGGTGTTGCGAGAGTTGGTGTATGCAGTGCTGATGCTGGTGTCTTCCATATGGACCTGTGTGTACACAGTCCAGTAGTTGCTGGTTGTGATCGTGAGGCATGATCTGCCTTCTGGTTGTCCTTTGTAGATCACAATGAGGGATTCTCCTGCGGTTGTATCCTTGCCACGCTAGATCCCGTTGTAGAATCGCGGCTCGGGTCTTGGGAATTGTTTCACTGCTGGTAGCATGCGTTGCACTGTCTCACCAAACTCGCAAAGTGGTGTGTGCTGCTCTCTGCTCCATCTGTTGAAGTAGCTTGTGCATCCATTGCTGTGAACTGCATACCTGTTCATGATGTGTGCGCTGTGTCGAACTATCCAAGGCATGAGTGGGTGTTTCATTGAAATGTCTCTGTTGTAGTTTTGTCTGATCTGTGCCTTGAGTGTTCTGATTTGCGCAAACAGTGTTCTGTGCGCTCGCTCTACTCCTCCTTGTGATTGTGAACTGTGTGCTCCTGAGTTCCTTGTGGTGATGTTGCCAATCTTGTTTGCCACTGCTGCGATGAGCGCTGTCAGGACGTTTTCCTGATCCAATTGTAGTGAGGTGTGTGTTGCCCTTCCACATTCAATGAAGAAGTGCTGTAGCTGTGTAACTGCATAGTCGAAGAGCATTCTCTTGTCTGTCAGTTGTAGTGCCATGATCATCCCAGACTGGATGTTCATTGCTGTTAGAATTGGATGTACGTTGCTGGCATCAAAGCCTTTGATGTAGCCGAAGTCAAGCTGTATGATTGGAAGCTTGCTGTGTTGCTTTGGGTGATTGTTCTGCCTGCCTCTTGCTTGTGCGCATATTGGACACCAACTCCTGTAAGGGAGATGTGTCACATTGTGCTCGAGTATCTCCTGTGGCGTTGGTTGCTTGGGCGCTTGTACTGCTTGTGCTTTTGTGCCCTGTTGTTGTTCCTCATCATCTGACTCAAGTTGTGTTGGAAACAGCCTGTCCAAGGCTTGTCTGATGTCTTTGCTGGTTGTGTTGTCCATTCATCTTCTACAAACCTTGTGTTGCGCCTTGGTTTGTCTCTAAGGTATGAGTCGCTTGATGTCTGGCCCGTCGTGTGTCTTCTCTGGTGTGTAAAACGCTGTTCGAGGCTCAACATGTCCTCTCTTCCTGTATGGGCCTTCTCTGTACCAGTAGTCTCCTCCAGGGTGTACTTCTGAAGGATGTGGAAGTCCTTGTCCAACTGCACCTTTGGTGGTATGTGGTGCTGTTGACTCCTGTAGTGTTGGTGGTGTTGTAGTGAATCACTTGTGGTGTGACCTTCCGTGGCTCGCTCCTTGGCTGTGTCTTTGTTGCAAACTGTTGCTGTAGCGCGTCTGGCAATTTTGCTTTCCACATCTGTGGTTGTGCTTTGCTTGGCTCTTCCAATGATTGACACTTGCCCTTAAACGTATT